CAAAGCCAAAAAACAAAATTATGCAAATTTCCAAGAGAAGAAAAGCGTTTCAACAGCCAATGGAAAAGGTAGAAACTTGACTTCAAGTACTGAAAGTAAAAGAAAAAGAAAAGCAATTTGTTTTAGAACATTCTATTAATCTTATCAGTTAAAATTCCCTTTTTACTTCCTTGTACGAAGTAAAAAGGAAGTATTGTAATCGCGAAAAGTTTCAGGCAGCATATTTCAACGAAAATATCCATTTTGACCGCTATCGAATGCAATTTAACGATGCTTTTGCGTGATATCTGTACGTAAGGACAGAATAAAATACTCTTTTCCTTCAAAAAAATTGTAAAACTGCTTTAAAATTCATTCTGAAGGGAATTTTTCGTGGCGTCTGTACGAACGTATGTACGTTCGTGCGTACGTACATATCTCGCATAACTCAAAAACGATTAGTCTCAGAACGTTGAAATTTTGTATATAGGACTGCTATAACATGCAGATGTGCACCTCGTTTTGGTTGCAATCGGCCGCACCAAAACGTATATAAATATTTTATATATATATCCACTTTATTACCCGGCTCAGTGATCTCAGTTCTTTACTCTATATGCTTTTAAATTGTGCATTTTTTAGCTTTAAAAAATGATTGAATTATGTTGTTTTTTATCTTCCGGTTAAGGAATTATGCCTTTAGTAAATCTGTGTGCAATATTTTTAGAATTATCAGCAATTTTAAAGTTGTTTAATTGCCGCTAAGCCTTGTTTAATGGCGGCCATTGATGTTTACATTTGAAACAGGAGACTAGTAGATTTGTTGCCAATCTAGAGAAACTTAGCTTCGCAACAAGAAAGATAACGCCTTCATTTATTATTGCCAATTAAATCATGCTTAATTCTTTCTGGAATTTTTTCGACGAAATAAGCGTTTGAAATTTACTTCGTAATTTTTAATATAGATATTTTGAGTTTTTATGTATTTCTGCCTTCTCGCGAAGTGAGAACTGAATTAATTAAATGAGAAATACTCAATCGTCTGTGAAAAACTGTTTCTTTTTTGTTTTGTTTGCTTTAATTTCTTTTATTCATAGTTCTAGCTTTATTATAGTATTTGAATAGAACATGTGGCAACGATTAGATAATTCTTTAAATGATATACATTTGTGCATTCTGAGTTATAATATGAATGAAATATAATACTGTTAAGTAAACCTAGCGCCAGAGTGTCGCCTATGGTAAACAAAGTGAATTTTAAAGAATGCATTTTTCTATATTGTGGTTTATGCGTTTTGTCGGCGGCGAAGTAGTTTTAATTCAATCGAATAAGTTTAAATAAAAATGCAAGAAAAAAATGCGTATAATTTAATATTCCGTACAAGGAAGTCATGTGGTGTACATCAGATTTTTTATTATTAAAAATTTATTATTTTGAAGTCTGTGGAAAGCAGAATGAGTTGAATGAATATTGCTTGATAGAATTGTACATTTAAGAGGCGGTGGGAATGTTGTGGTATGAGGTAGTATGAGCTAGAATGAAACTGGTAATTTGACTAGAATTGAGGGAATTTTGAATGCGAGAAACAAAATTTTTTTTTTCCATATTTAGATTCTTCGACTCAAATTATGCCAAAGTGCCAAGTTCTGTAAAATTTGCACAAGTTGTTTTTAAAAAATTAGTTCTCAAAATTTTAGCTCCTCCATGTTAATTGAATTTACATATTTGTTAATTATTTCTTTTTTTGTTAAACTTACTTCATTTGTTCTTTCGCATTTCGAAATTTAAGTTCAATCGAAATAAAATCCACAGATACTTCCTGATTTATTTTTTCAATTTGTAGTTTTTAGTAATTTTTATAAATTTTTCAAAAACATTTTGTATTATAAACGACAAAAATTTTACTATCATCTTGAAGTAGGTGTATTTCTAGTCACACCTGCAAAAAATTAGAGTTTTTTATTCAAAATTTCCAAAGATAAACACTGGGTGGGGAATGGGGCAGTTCTATAGCTCTCGTTCTACTAATTGACGATATCTCTTGTTCTCGCCAATTGACGAAATTCAAATTGCGTTTTTCATGTTTCAAAAGCGCGAGTTAGGATATATATTAAATTTATCGACTCAAATTATGCATAGATTTTAAGTTTTGTAAAATTTGGTGCGAAATTTACGGAGAAATTAAAAAAGTTATTTTGGCGTATTTTTTTTAGTTTTCTTCAAGAATAATTTACTTAGCGAAATTCTTGATTTATAGAAACCTATTGGAATGAACCTAAATTTCGAAATGTGAAAGGAAGAATCAAATAAGTTTAAAAAAAAAAAGATATATTAATAAATATATATCAAATTGAATTAACACTGAGGAGCTAAAATTTTTAGAGCTAATTTTTTAAAAACTACTCTCGCGATTTTTACAAAACTTGGCAGTTTGGCATCATTTTAGTCGTAGAATTGAAAAATGGAAAAATTGGCATGTCATATAAGAAAAAGTCCGATTTTGTGTCAAAATGCCTATATTAGAACAATGCTATATATAAATCTAATATATATCCTAAATCATATATAAATCTAATATATATCCTAAATCATATATAAATCTAATATTTATCCTAAATCATGCTTTCGAGATATGAAAAACGCAATTTGAATTTCGTCAATCGGCCCAGTAGAACGGGAGATATAATATTCTTCCATTTTTTTTTTCGCAGTGTACGTGAACTTATGTACTGGCGCGTTTTGAAATTTGGCATATTTATAATAAGTTATAATAACGCCAAATGTGGTTTACGCAGTTTGTTAAAATTATTTGAAAGAATGAACGAAAGATTTTTTTTTTTTTTTTTTTTTCTGAGAAAAGTGAAAGGAAAATAGATTGCTATAAATTAAGAAGTTCGCCAAGTGAATTATTCTTGGTGCAGAGGGAAAAAATGCGCCAAGATAAATTTTAAAATTTCTCTACAAATTTCTCACAAAAAATTTATAGAATTTAATATCTAAGCATAATTTGAGTCACAGAATCGAAATATGGAAAAAAATGCTGATTTGCTAATGAAACGTTACATATTAAATTTTTCTATCACTCCTACTGAAGCTTTAATCAATACAAACTGAGAATCAATGATGAAGAAAAAGAATGTTATCTTCTTTAAAAATAACTGTCCAAGCGAGCCAGGAATTATCTCAGTTTTACGCACGACAGAAATTCAAAAGACGAGTAAAAACATTTCTTCTTGTCATAAATTTCCTTACTGGTTAGACTTGTAGCAAGTGCGAGTTGACGCTTGTTTCTGTCAATTCTAACTCTTCTATCATCGGCACTTTCTGTAGGAGTTCAAGATTTATCTGATCAATATTTTGGCTAGTTAGGAGTTGTGAAGGTACAGCAACCTTTTCTAAACCTTGGACGAACTCTGTTAAGAGAGTCCGATGCCATACGAACAGCATTCTTTCAGGGACACTTAATGCTCTTTGTTTTTGTATAAAAGAAAAGCATAGTAATGCGGAAGTTGGGGCTACCCAAGATACAGAGCTTTAGGCTTGGACTTAGTAGGTCTAGGCAGTAACTAGGTTCTATTTTTGGGTTTATTACTAAACAGTCCAAAAATACATTCATACACTTTTTGGCTAGCGTGATTTATAACAAATCAAAACTGAGCTTGAGAGAGTAATTGCAGAATTTGATAATTTTGGCTTGCATTTAGATGTTAATGTAGTCAAAACCATTCCATAGAGGCTAATATGCACAGAAATAAAATAAGAAGTGCAAAGACGTTTAATGAATTTAACTCAAGCTCATACCTTTTTAATGTTAATAGTAAATTATAAAACTAAATTTAACAAGGAATTATTTTTTTCTTGTTGCTGTATTAAAAACCAATTGTATTATCTTTTAAATACATATATTATTATTATTATTATTATTTTACAAATGGCACGCACTTGCGTATAACGGCATTGGCCACTACTAAGGCCAGAAGTGGTAGCCATTTTATTGTGGAGGCACCTAATAGGCGGACATATATTATTATTATTTATATTTATATTATTATTTACTCGTATATTATATATTATTATTCTGAAGCAATAATATTGATTAAGTAACAGGTTCAGGCCTTATATGCGCTTTAATTCCGCAAAAATGACGACAAATATGAAAGGAGCAAGCACATAGCTATCAAAAAACAGCTCAACCTGTAGATTAGCTAAATTTTGTATTATTTTTCTCCGTTTATAAGTGTGTGCAACTTCAATTTTCAATTCATTCGACTATGGGCATCTGGAAGCCCAAATTTGGAATCTATTTTATTACCTATTTGACATTTTGTAAATCTTTAACGAATTTTTGACAAACTCAACGATTTCAAAGCGAACAGTGGCAACACTGTACGGAAAATAATAATAACAATAATAATCTCTAGAGCGCGAGACTGTGTATCGGAAATTCTAAAGATATGCATTTTTTAAATTATTTTGTGATATTGCTGTTGAATTGAATTTTATGGTTTAAGCGCGAAGAACATGATATTTAATAAATAAATTGAGAGTGGTCGTCTAAGAAAAGTTTTCCTATATTTTGACATTTTTCTATTAGTATTATTTCGTATTTCAAAGAAAAATGGAGGAAAAAACTGATGGAGCTTTAAAAATTTATTTATTTTGTTTTGATTTTATTTAATGGTAAAAATTTAGTCCCCCCTCCCCAGTTCGCAACATCATGCACTACATTTATTTATTAATTAATAAAATTCTCTACGAGGTGTTACATGCTATAACTGAAATCATTAGAATGCAAATTTTCTATTTTTTAAGTAAATACTTTTTATTGCTTTATGAAGGATCGTCGTGTTATGTCTCCAAGAACATCATTCTATCTGCATTTCGTCATGGTACTCTCTGATCGTCTGTATCAATAAGTAACTGAAATACATCACATTCTTTGAGTGAATGCTTTGCTTGTAGTTGAATCAAGACTTCGCTTAATTTTTTTATGTTGAAGTTAAGTTTATTTTTCTTGCAGGTGCTACTTGAATAAATAGGAAATGCATGTCTGAGAGAACGATTCTTCCGTGTGATAAAAAAATAAGGTACTGGAAAGGTGATGATAACAGGTGTTGTAATATTTGCTTTACGAGAAACTGTCAATGTGGCATAGAGAAAAATTGTTATTGAAAAAGAGTGTGGCCTTCAAATCTAGTCACATTTACATATAATTAAAAGTGTTGGACTTTTTAATTCATTCCAGAAATTAATGTTACAGAGATTATAATAAATGATTTTAAAAATTGTGTGCACTGTTAAAACTAGAGGATGTATCTGTTTTACATAAATAGAAAATTGCGGAGTTTCCGAGTTTAATTTTTTGTTTTATTTTTAAAAAATGAAAGATACGGGTGTTATTATTTATATATTGCTTACAGCATTTTCGACACAACAGATGTAGCTGTTGCCCTTTAAGTAAGAAGAAGAAAATTATTGTTTCAAAACAGAATTATACTGCTTCAGAAGCTATGACTATTTCGGTGAAAAAAAACAGCGTGATTATTTCAGAATAGAATTAATACATTACTTAAGAGCTCAAAAAGAAATTTTTCAAAATAGAATTATAACACTGGAAAAGCTAAGTAAATCTGTCAGAAAAAGAAAAGAACTAGTTGAAACACCGAATAGTAATATATCATAACATACCTTTACTTGTATGCGAAAAGTTGACGAACTTTTAATTTAAGTTCGAAAAAAAAAAAAAAAAAAAAAAATTTCTTCAAAAATGATTCTAATACAACAGAAACAGTCGACATTTTAATCCTAAAAGCTAAAAATTGATTGAAAACCATAATTATAATGCCTCATAAGTTATCTTTACTGCAGGATCAAAAGCATAAAAATATTGTTTCAAATGTGAAAAGCAAAAAAAAGTGTTTCAAAGAAAATTTCAACACCTTAGAAGCAATCAACTCTTCAGCGGTAAGGTAAGTTAATTTTGTGGTTGTTGTTGTGACTAATCTCGCTTGTCGCCTCAGGCAAACAGCGTTTGCAGACAGGTGGGCCCGCGTGTGAGCGCTATGCTAGTGTAACACATATGCCGTTTTTCGAACATTTATAAGTTCCGAATACATAACTAGATTGCATAACATGCGATAAACAAAAACATGGCACACGTCGATGAAAAGTCCGCAGGGTAGATAGCGAAGAGCCAATCGAGACCATTTATGCTACGGATGCAGTCGATAGTCAAGTCCAGATGAATACTTAGTGCAAGTAAGCAATGTGAGTAAACGGTAGTGCGAATTCAGTGGCAAGTAGGTTTAAAAAAATGTCAATATGCAAGACAGATCAATAATAATATAACATTACAAAACAGCAGTAAAGAAACGCATAAACATATAGTACTCAGCAAAAAGTTTTCAGAATCAAAGTACATGGTTTAAACATATGGAGGAACAGTGCAAATATATAGAACAGAATTGATATAAGTATAACATATTCCATTTAGTACAAGGTATAACACATTTTTTGGCATATATATGTCATAACACTGCCCAATTATTGTGATAAAACTGCGTTAAAATTGTAATAAGATGACCTGGTTTAGAGCTGCAACGGACTGGCGTTGGAGAGGACTGCATCATAACTTGAAGACTTTGCTGCGTAGTTAGCAAAATGACACTCGAAAAACACACATAACGGCAAATTCTACACATAATGTCATTCTTATATAATTCACATTATCACTGTGGGTGCGCTATGCACCCTTCAATTTTGTACACATTACGTCTTCTTAAAGGACGAAAATTAGAAAAGTTAATTCTCCATGGATAAAAGACGGCAAGGCGACACAAGCGTCTGGGAAGAACGAAGAGAAAAAGAGAGAGTTGCGACGTAATTACCCTTTTTATACCAAATTCCCTTTCAGATCGCATGAAAAATTAAGGCACAGGATTTTGGATTCAGATTTGATCGGTAAGGGCGCATCAGAACTGCAGGGAGAAACTTTATTGCTGTTATTTTCAGAATGAAAGTGAAGTTAAAGGGCTATTAATATATTATTTGAAAGCAAGATTTTATATTTTTACAGATTATATAATATATATATATATATATATATATCTATATATATATATATATATATATACAGAGAGTCATTGACATTAGTTTAAGTGTCTGAGGACCGCGAGGTGTCTTTTCTATTCGCCCTATTATTATAATCACAGCTTAACACAGGAATTGTGTTATTTTGCACAAGTGGTATTTTTCTAAAGTATTTTTCAGCCAACATGGCCATACAACATTTTATTTCACGCATTTTAAATTCACGGTGGATTGCCGAGTTTCTAATAAACCACGGACAATCCACCGCTTGTCTAAGCATAAAATTTTGCAACACTTATGATTTGTTTAAAGAAGTTTTGCAGGCATATCCCCAGACAGGACAGACATAGGTAAGTATGGGACGCAACATGGTCTTATAAATGAGTATTTTATTATCAGAACACTGTGGCGAGCAGTTAAAGAGGAAATGTCGCTTGTCTGAATCAGAACAAGCCCACGAAATTCATCGTGGCAGGGAGCACAAGATTACGCCTGTCGTTGACAAGAGCTTGAGCACCATATAGATGACAGTACGATTTTTTACAACTCCATCCAAATTTTGAGGAAAAGCACCCCGGGTGTGGGTCCGAGGGTCTCCCACTCCTCTTCTCCTACCACACAAGAGGATCCAAATCCACACTAGAGGACTTTTGGCTGGCTATATATTTAGAGTGCCAAGCTGCAAAGAACTACAGATTTACAGACACCCAAGTCTTCTCCGAGATTCAAACTAAGGCCCTTCTGTATGGCAGTCAGAATCACTAACCACTATCCCGTTTGGGGCGGCAGATTGATTTTAATTAAGGCAATGCACATAGGAGCTAGTTGCCCAGACAGAGATGCCTTGTGAATGAATTTTTCACAGAATTACCTGGTATTTATGTTGTTACACATGTGGAAATCATGTAAATGTCCAGTATTCCTTGGCATTGAAACCTAGTCATTGAGTCCTTAAACGGACATAATGAAGAAATATTTCAAAATTCTATGTATTTTAATGAGAAGCTAATTAAGCTTAATTAAGCTAATAATATTTTAGCGAGGAAACTGAAAGAATTATTTCATAATGTAACTGTACACTACCAATACTTAAATGAGAAAAGCAAAAGAATTGGCTTAAAATATACTATAATACCCCAACAGTTTAATTTTCAATAAACTCTTAGTTCTGCAATTAAAACCTAATACGAGGCGTTGATTTTTTTAACTGCTTTGTTGACGAGAATTTTACATTAGAAGCTGTGAAAACATGAGTCGTAGCTGGCAATAACAGCACTGCTAGAATTGTAAATATACAGCTGTAATATGCATTTTTCTGCCTCTTTTTTCCTTTTCATGCTTTCTTACTGATTTATGTTAGAAACTTTCCAAGCTTAATAATACTTCTGTTGAAGTGAGGTCCTGAATACGAATCTGACAACTTTCTGCTACACGACCGTTATTCAAATGTGAAATTTCAGCTCTTTGAAAGAACAAAAACTTCCGCTTTGATTATCTGTAGATGTATCAATTTTAAAGGAAGTTCCGGCGTAAAAGTGACCCGAATGAAGTAATACTACGTTGTTAAACTGCTTAAACAGATTATAAACAGGAAAGCAGTAGTTTTAGTAGGGATGACGTTCAGAATGAACGAAGGCTGAAGGTGGCTGTTTAAAGAGGTGAGTTTCTGTTGTTTTCGTACTTAAAAAGTTTTTCATTTTATCTCCATTATCATAGAAGGACGAATGCATACTATGTTGGAAATGTGTTTAATTAAATGATAAGTTAACTACTCTTGAACGAAATAACAAACAACTACAAACTAAGCTCTCCTTTCGTTTCCAATAGATTAATTCTATAGGAATATTTTTAAAAGAATAAAATGAATAAAATTATTGCAGTTGATATGCAAAAGTAAAGTTTCATTTCTGAAATAAATCTGAAAAGTATTCTTTCGCCGTGTTATGGATTTATTTTTCGGAAGAAGATTAAAGAAAAATCATATATCTTTTTAGCTAAAGAGTTAAAAGAGTTCTTTCAAAATAAAATAGTTTGTTGTTTTTATAGTTTTGTTTTGAACAGACTTGTTTGCTTTTCTCGTTGAAATTTTAGAAAACTTAAACATTTTAATTTTTTCATAATTAATTGATAAATTATTTGACACATAATTTTTAATATTTATAAATATATCTTAAAAACACATACCTCTTTATTGATTTTTTTTCCAACTTCTCAACGAAAGCTCTGAGATGTTGAGAAAAAAGTTTTCACACTTATTTGTCGGGCTAATTATAGATTACAGCATACTGCAGGACTTGCTGTGTTACATACAGGCTTGTTACCTTTTCTTTAGGGAAAATTTTCTTATTTCTTTATGTTAGATATGTTGCAGGCGTGTAATGAATATAAAGCTCTGATTTGAATTAATTTATATTAAACAGAGCTGTCCAAGGTTATAGAAATGTGAGCGTCCTTCAGAGTATTAATTCCTATACTCCTTTTTGTGTTGTTAACTTAGTGTCTTTATTTACACTTATTAGCTTTGGCTATTGTATATGTAGTGATAACTTGCTAAAAGATGGTGAAAATGTTGATGTTAGGGTAACAATCGGAAATTTTCAGAAAAGGAAGTTACGAGTTATGAAGAAATTTTAATCTACTGTTGTCAAAATGCATTTTATTTTTTCTAATATTATTTCAAAATACTCTTTTTGGAGGTTAAAAACCCCGCCTAAAGTTCACACACACACACACACACAAAACAAAAAAAAAAAAAAAAAAAAAAAAAAAAGGAGCTTATACGCGCTGGTGCCTCCACGCTAATTTCAAGCATATCTAGTCTTTTAACACATCGTCAGGCAATGAAACTGACGACTTCCTTATCTGTGTGGTTAATTCTTCTTTTCTACTCGTCTTGTTTAATCCTCACGCCTATTCTTTTTACAATATACACTCATGTCCATAAATTAAAGATAATGCAAAATCAGGCAAAAGAAGAGTTAGAAGCAAAGCAAATTTGACTTATTTGTAAAGCTTATTTATTAAACAAAAGGTAAAGAGCAAAAGAAGATGCTATATGTTTGATATTATTAAAAAAATTAGCAATTTTTTCTCCCTGGAGCAAATTAAAAAAAAAAAAAAAAAAAAAAAAAAAAACCCTATTTACAAAAAAAAAAAGAATATTACATGGTTAGTATGATTGTTAATACGTTGTATGTCTCCCAGACGATGCAATACAGTGCGTAAAACGCCTAGGTATGCTGAGGATCAAATTATCGATCTGATCTTGG